CAACCTATCAAAAATAGTGCCATAAAAAACAGTATAGAAACACAAGTTAAGATAGGCAAGAAAATGATAAGTGAGCACCTGTCCAGCCTAGACGAGTTCAAATCACCAGGACCAGATGGATTACACCCCAAGGTTCTCAAGGAACTGGCAGATGTGATCTCAGAACCACTGAACTATATTTTTCAAAGATCTTGGAGCAATGGGGAACTACCAGAGGACTGGAAAACAGCTGATGTAGTTCCCATCTTCAAAAAAGGAAAAAAAAATGGATCCAGGAAATTACAGACCTGTCAGCCTGATCTCAATACCTGGGAAGATTCTGGAAAAGATAATCAAACAACGAATCAGAGAACACCTAGAGGCAAACAAAGTCATTACTAAAAGCCAAAACGGGTTTGTCAAAAGCAGATCACGCCAGAGAAACCTTATTACATTTTTTGACCAAGTGTCAAAATTAGTGGATCAGAGGAATGCTGTGGATATAATTTACTTGGACTTCAGTAAGGCATTTGATAAAGTAGATCACAACCTACTACTCGATAAGATAGAAAAATGTGGGTTAAACAGCATCACCACCAGATGGATTCGTAGCTGGCTGACCGGCCGTACTCAGCATGTGCTCCTCAATGGAACCGCATCTACATGGAGAGAAGTTTGTAGTGGGGTGCCCCATGGCTCTGTTCTGGGCCCAGTGCTCTTCAACATCTTCATCAATGATTTGGACGAGGGGATAGATGGGGAACTCATCAAATTTGCGGATGACACCAAGCTGGCAGGAATAGCCAACACTCCAGAAGTTACAGGCTTAAGATACAGGAGGACCTGGACAGACTTGAACACTGGGCGCTATCTAACAAAATGAAATTCAATGGTGAAAAAAGTAAGGTTCTACATTTAGGGAAGAAAAACCAAATGTACAGGTATAGTATAGAGGGTACCTTGCTCAATAGTAGTAACTGTGAGAGGGATCTCGGAGTCCTAGTGGACAATCACTTAAATATGAGCCAGCAGTGTGCTGCAGATGCCAAAAAAGCCAACACAGTGCTGGGCTGCATTAACAGTGGGATAGAATCAAGATCACGTGAAGTATTAATACCACTTTACAATGCCTTAGTAAGGCCACACTTGGAATACTGCATCCAGTTTTGGTCACCACAATGTAAAAAAGATGCTGAGACTCTAGAAAGAGTACAGAGAAGAGCAACAAAGATGATTGGGGGACTGGAGGTTAAAACATATAAGGAAGGGTTGCTGGAATTGGGTATGTCAAGTTTAACAAAGAGAAGGACGAGGGGGGACATGATAGCAGTGTTCCAATATCTCAGGGGCTGCCACAAAGAAGAGAGAGTCAATCTATTCTCCAAGGCCCCTGAAGGCAGGACGAGAAGCAACGGGTGGAAACTGATCAAGGAGAGAAGCAACTTAGAACTAAGGAGAAACTTCCTGACAGAACAATTAACCAATGGAACAACCTGCCTCCAGAAGCAGTGAATGCTCCAACACTGGAAGTTTTTAAGAAGAGACTGGACAGCCATTTGTCTGAAATGGTGTAGGGTTCCTGCCTGAGCAAGGGGTTGGACTCGATAACCTCCAAGGTCCCTTCCAACTTTATTATTATTATTATTATTATTATTATTATTATTATTATTATTATTATTATTATTATTATTATTATTATTATTATTATTATTATTATTATTATTATTATTATTATTATTATTATTATTATTATTAATGTAGAACCTTATTTTTTTCACTACTGAATTTCATTTGGTTAGATAGCGCCCAGTGTTCAAGTCTGTCCAGATCCTCCTGTATCCTAAGCCTGTCTTCTTGAGTGTTGGCTATTCCTGCCAGCTTGGTGTCATCTGCAAATTTGATGATTTCCCCATCTATCTCCTCGCCCAAATCGTTGATGAAGATGTTGAAGAGCACTGGGCCCAGAATAGAGCCCTGGGGCACCCCACTACACACTTACTTCCATGTTGATGCGGTTCCATTGAGGACCACACACTGAGTACCGCCAGTCAGCCAGCTACGGATCCATCTGGTGGCGATGCTGTCTAACCCACATTTTTCTAATCTTATCAAGTAGTAGGTTGTGATCTACTTTATCAAATGCCTTACTGAAGTCCAAGTAAATTATATCCACAGCATTCCTCTGATCCACTAATTTTTTTCACTTGGTCAAAGAATGTGATAAGATTTTTCTGGCATGATCTGTTTTTGACAAACCCATGTTGGCTTTTAGTAATGACTTTGTTTGCCTCTAGGTGTTCGCTGATTCGTTGTTTGATTATCTTTTGCACAATCTTCCTAGGTATTGAGGTCAGGCTGATAGGTCTGTAATTTCCTGGGTCCATTTTTTCCCCTTTTTTGAAGATGGGAACTACATCATGCATAGTGTCCCAGGAGGACCCCTGGATATCTTCTCTGAAACTGTCATGGCTATCTCACCATATGTTTGCTGCATATTTTGTGGGTGCTGCTTCCTTTATTGTTGGTTGTTGATCCTAAGAAGCAAAATTTAAACTTCAGGATCTTGTTTGTCAATTCTGGTTGCTGCATATTAATGTTTTTTTAAAAAAATATATTTAATCATATCCTCATTAGCAGGGGGAAATTAATTTTTTTAAATGCTTTTGCTCAGCAAGTGTGGGCCTAACTAAGATTCCTGTAAGAAATAATTATTTTTCTATTGGTGAGATAATAAGTGTCTGATGGTTTAATAATGAGAAAATGCCAATTAAAATAATATATACTAAGGGACAATGACAATAAAAAATAGGCCCAATTGTTCAAATTCATGTTCATTTTCCACGTAAAATGAAGAGAGTAGTTGAATATAGAAGAGGAAACTTTTCTACCTATTAAGGAATGTCAATTAAACCAGATAGCCTTTTGGATGAGTTCACTCATATTTCCAGGCAGAGAATGCTAATGTGAATCAATGCCAATATTGATATCATGGAATTAAAATACAGGACCCAAAGCAAATTTATTTATTTATTTATATCCAGTTTTTATTATTTTTACAAATAACTCAAAGCATCAAATATATCCAACAGATATTCCTCGTCCTATTTTCCCCCAAACAACAATGACCCTGTAAAGTGGGTTGGGCTGAGAGAGAGGGACTGTCCTAAAGTCACCCAGGTGGCTCTGATGGTTAAAGCAAAATTCATAGTCTTCTGCTTTTTAGTCTCTGATGTGGTATTATATTAAATATATATTATGTAATGAAAGGGGTCTCCTCCAAAGAACTAATGGAAGACATACCTAAATCAAACCAAATCAAATGAAACTTTATATGGACATCACCCAGCATACACTTCTAGTAAGGGATGAGACAAAAGAAAAATTACATATTATATAATGTACCCTAAATTGTAATAGGGTACAGTAAAAATATCTTGGTGGATGGAGAATGAATGGCTAAGACTGTTCATTAATTTTTTTTAAAAAAAAACCAGTTAAATGTATATTAAATGCTCAAAAACATTTTAACTTTTACCTTTCAAAGATGACCAATCAATCCAAAACTGATTCCCTATGATATTGAGCTAAATACATGTCTATAAAATATTCATTAGCTTTTTCCCATATTTATACAGTGGTTTATGAAATGAAGCTATAAAAACCATGAATTGCCAGCTGCCCTTTAGCCTTAAAGTCAATATGTCAAATCTCCTAAAAATATAAACAGATAGATTGTCAAAATCTTGTTAGCTTGATATATTCAAAGGAAAAAAGGTTAGGTAAAACAATCTGATGTACTACATTCTCTTTATTAGTTGTTCCCTGTGGTTTAGCTCAGGCCGCAAAACAATGAGGTAGCATTTTGGCAAGAATATGCATCCCAGTAATGCAGCGCTGGAAGACAAGATGGAGAAGACCTCCACAGCTACCATGGCTTTGCCTTTTGTGCTCAGATAGGCTGGAAAGAAGGAGACCCACACACTGCAAAAGGCCAACATGCTGAAGGTGATGAACTTGGCTTCATTGAATCTGTCAGGTAATTTACGGGCAAGGAAAGCCACAATGAAGCTGGCAATGGCTAAGATACCCATGTAGCCCAAGACACAGTAGAAAAAGAAACCTGACCCCTCATTGCACTGTAAAATCATTTCTTGGAGCTCTGAATGCATGTCCAATTCAGGGAATGGGGGAGATGTTGACAACCAAAGAGTACAAATACATACTTGAATAAGAGAACAGGAAAGGACAGCAGCAAAGGCCAATCTTTTCCCCACCCACTTCCTCATTTTTGATCCAGGTTTAGTGGCCATGAAAGCCACAACCACCGTGATGGTTTTGGCCAGTACACTAGAAATGGCCACTGAGAAGGTAATTCCAAAAGTTGATTGTCTAAGAAGGCAGGTCACTTTGCCAGGTTGGCTGAGAAATAAAAAAGAGGAGAGAAAACAGAACAAAAGAGAGACAAGAAGGGTATAGGTGAGGGATCTGTTGTTGGCTCTGACAATGGGAGTATCCCTGTGTTTAATAAAAGTTCCAAGTACCCAAGATGTCAAGATGAAGAAACCAAGAGTGACTGAGGCTAAACCGACTCCTAAAGTTTCTTCAAAAGTTAGAAAGACCAGCAGTTTCAGGATACAGCCTTTCTTTTCTTTATTTGGATAATGATCTTCTGAACATTCAAAACAGTCATCCATATCTGGAAAGAAAAGCCAATGAATTTGTCATCTATCTGTTAGATCGCGCAGGCAGTAAGACACGAGTCGAGTGACAGTCAGCTCTTGGTTTATTGGCAAGGCATAAGGTAAATCCGGACTGGCTCTCTGGGCCAGGGGAGCCCTCTTTTATGGGATTCCCCTGGCTTGTAATCACACAATTCCATTGGCTGGCAAGACCCTGTTGCTAGTTAGCCAACCAGCAACGGGC